CCCCTTAACTTCTAAAGCTTCCTGGTGGCCTAGCTGTATATTCGAAGCTATCCATACAGGGTGGATGTGGTCGAGCGATGTCACATGACCAGAATACGTTCATCAGGACGGTCGAAATAGACGACAATAGGACCCTTTCAATTTTCCAGGTTGGTGACTAGTCGGTATGATCGTTTACTTTTTGTTCGAAGTAAGCCTTTTTCAGGAGGTGGAAGCTGATGTTGGTGGTGTGGTATGGGACAGTGCTTTAGTTGCTGCTTATTATTTCATCAAAAATTCAGAGAGATACCAAAATAAAAAGGTTCATTTTTAATTATATTCAATTATTGTTTATCAGATCTGTTCCTAGTATTCCGAGATAAAATCTTGCTCCGATTTCCTTCTTCATTGAGACAGTTCAACTAAATTAAAGTCGTTATTCATAAGTATATCTACCCGTCGGAAAAGAGGGCTAGATCAGGGACCACCTTCTTTTCACTCGCTTGATTGACTTTACTTAAAGCCACAAACTTTCTTTCGGTAACAGTAAGGATGCTATGTCACCGGTATCCATACTGCAGATAGTATTTCTTGTCTATGTCAGATCGTCAGGCTTACAAAGGAACCTTAAGAGTCAGGGGTTCGGACAAGACCGATAAATTAAGGAAAATATGTTATCCTTGATTCTTCAGGTACTTGAATTAGGAGCAGGCACAGGTATATGTGGCCTCGTTTTGGCAGCACTTGGAGCTGATGTTATACTCACCGACTTACCATCACGAGTAACACTCTTGCAAAAGAACTACGAAATCAACAAATCTGCCTGCTGTGGCTCTGTGACGATCCAGCCGTTAGACTGGACGTGTCCTGGCCATGTACCAGACGTAGACTTATTGGTTTTAGTCGATTGTATCTATTATTTAGACAGTGTTGACCATCTTATAAACACCTTGAATTCCTTCAATGCAAAAGAAATTCTATGTGTTTACGAAAAACGGGACATTGGTGAACCGGTTTTCGCTCAGAAAGTCTTTCTAGAGAAAATTGTTCAATACTATGATATCGTATCTGTGCCTGATTCTGATCTTCACAATGAGTTTTCATGTTCTGATGAGATACCATTGATAAAGCTTATGAGGAGGTATCCTATGCTCATTGTTGTGGTCTTCTACTTACCAAATGTTGGTTGAACAGCAAGTACTTCCTAACTCATGTCAATTTTCATTTACTTTTGCATTTTGAAAACCTTTCAGTAATCAAAATATCTTGTTTTTCATGTCTAGAATGTATCGGGATCCGTCAACTTCGTCCAACTATGACGAGATCACGGTTACTCACTATTTTCTCGAATGGACTGTGTGTTTTCTTCAAAAAAATATTTATGGCTCAATCGAAATGACGTTGAAAGCTTTAAAAGCTGTAGATAAAATTGTGAGTCCCGGTTTCTTCATCGAATTCTTGATATCAACATATTCCCCAGCTAGAAATGACTCAAGTAGCGAAATCAATGTTTCTTTGCATTTTTCGTTTTTTCAGCCTTTCCGACTCGAACGAAACTATAAATCACACAAACTCTGTTTTTTCTAGGTTCTTGATGGACATGGACTAATGATTTCAAGTGTGATTTTGAATGGACAAGAACTCAGTTTTGAAGTTGAGCCGGGTACACCTGTAGGAGAAAAAATTGTGATTAAATCACCTATAAGCGAAGGTCAAGAAGTGTAAGGCTCTTAATCTACGGTCTATCTAATCGAAAACATCTATTCTATTGATCTATTCAGCAAACTCGTAATAACTTACGCGACAGCCAAAGAAGCCTCAGCTCTTCAATTCATGGACAAGGAGCTGACTGCCGACAAGAAGGTAATGGTATCGATTTGAATAATACTCTTTATGAAGATCTCGATATTTCCTTGACCAAAGGAGCACACATGTTGCGTATGCTGCACCTCGCTCGTACCTTTAGAGCGCCCCTAAAATAAAATCTATAAGAAGCTCGTTACGTTTTAGCTAAAATAGTGTGAGTCCTTTTCGATAAACCAGAGGATATACCCCTCAATGCCATGAAATACCCTTTAATGGGCACTGAATCATGGCCGCGTTCCTTATTGAGAAAGATAGA